CAATACTGTGTCTGCAATAAGTTAATCTAAATATAATGGTCCAACTGCTTTATCATTGTCTGTCCACTGTTACTACACGAGGTGCATGGCTAGAAAATACCTCTCATCGCTTTTAGCTATATAAGCCCTTTTTGTGCTTTGAAAAATCATGCAATTCTCCAAATTTTGTAATAAAAAAAATGTTTTCAGATAAGATGAACGATTACATGCCAAAACCTCCCATGTCAATGCAGCCATTCGAGACAACCGACAACTCAAGAGCATTCTGTTACGGACATGGTCTTGTGAGAGGTAAAAATACTGTGCACTGATAATGTAAGACCATATCCATTAAATGGAAGTTATTTACGTTGAAGGACATTTTCTAGTTGATGTGAAGAATCCATATTTCTTGTGTTGTTAGGCACATTTGTATTAGTAAGTGTCAAGTCAGATACTGTGTATTTGAGCTTTAAAAAATCAAGTCAGCTCAGAGTAACTATGGAGTGTTGCTTTGGACCAAACATCGCGGCTTGACAGAAGAGGCGAGTCGAGTGCCTGTGGTTAGTTCAGGCGTGTTTGTAGTAACAGCAGGAGAGAGAGGATTGAATGCTTTAGAGGTTTTTGGACAGCAAGACGGTACCAGCTTCAGATGATGCCTGTACCTGTGCTGTGTAATGTTCAAGATTTTTGGATGTTGGTTCGCTTTTTTTTTGTTGATGAGATGTTTTTATCTAAATAAGTCAGGTTTCTATATAAAGTCGTTCTCATTATGATCAAAATATCACAAAGAATAACTGTACAGTAGCTCCCATGTTAAAACTCACCCAGAAGTAATCACAGTAGCTCCATTCATTGGGCTTTAGGAGCTGCTGCTCTGGACCTTCTCCAGGCAGAGGGAAAGTCACACAGTTGATCTGAAGCACAAGAACCACAGAAATGAACAGCAATGGTCTAAATGAACAATGAAAAACAGTGACAAGTAAGCGAGCTGCTAAAGCCTGTGAGCCAAACTCCTCAGTGCATTGGCTGAAATATCAGCTTTGAAAGACTGAGGTAAGGGGCCTGGGTTTTGTCTGGACCATGCAGATAAGAGGACAAATGTCAAGAGTAAACATGCAAATATGGTGATGACGGCCATCCAGAGGGTGACCTATGGGCCTTCTAGGCAGAGAGAGAGGATAGGAGACATCCCTGTACAGTCAAAAACAAACAAACCTTTTCTATTTTGTCCCTCAAATTGAACAAATGAACTTTACACACTTGAGAATATGTGGTATTTCAGATAAACACACCCAGCACTCAGCCTGAATACAGACTCCATGGTCCACAGCGTCTTCAATTACGCTTGGGGCTACAATTATGTAATGTTCACCATCTGTGAGCCCTCCCTCCTGGCACTCCAACATACCCTATGTGCCATGTCAACCGGTGCTGCAAACTACATGGGCATCCCGACACAATGCTTCATCCACAAATGCACAAAATCACACTGATTCACAATGTTTAGAGCATGACCTCACCACTGTACTGCTGTCACACCGACTGAAGAAAATGTGACATTTCCCAGCTGGCTCAACTGAAATGATGGGGAGGTGGAGGGCTGTCACCACAGTAGTCACAGTTGAAATCGCAGGGCACATTGAGACACCAAGAAAACTGAACATCACAGGGCCTGTTATATTTGTGCCATGAATGAGTGAGGAGTTGGCTGGATAAGCCAGAGACAGACTTGAATTTGCATGTACCAGGGGTCTCACCCACTGCTCTTCATGAGAGATGGCCAGCACATCAATCTGTAAACAAAATATTGACATATCATCTTAACTAACAGAGGCGTATTTAGGGGAGATCCAGGACGAAAGCACCACATTTTACTTTTACCCTGATTATTTGAAGGCAAATGCATCTTCTCAGACCATATTTAATTCAAGGACACTTAAACAGCATCCACCACAATCCATACACATTATTGTGAACAAGTGTATAACTGAAGTAAATAAATTGGGCAAGGGTACTTTCACCACCACGCCTTGGGTCAAAAGTACTACTGAAGGACTAACATGTAGATTATAAAGGTGACAAACAGCCTGATGATCAGCTGCTCCAAGGAACGCTTGCAGGTTTATCAGACCTCTATTCATTTTCTCTATCCTCACTGGGGGGTATTCTGTGGATACAACACAAATCAAACAGACTCAGCAGACCTGTATAGTTGTCCCCGGGTGCTGACCTGCAACTTAGACCTTGCTATCACCAAAGACCAGCATGAATGGCAAAGGAGCAATTGTTGTTTTTGCATAAATCTTCTGCTGTCAGTATTAGAAACACTGCGCATAAAAAAAGTTGAAGCTCCACTGAACACGTGACTTTGATCCCTTCATTCTCTGCACTGCCATCGCAGCACTTCATCAGAGCAGCTTCCAACAAACTCCGTTAAAAATAGATGAGTAGTACTCTTTCCTCTGTTATATAACCACTAAACAACAGTGTAAATACTGATATGGATACTTGCCAAAGAGATATACCAGTAGGACAGAAAACAGATAAACCATGAGCGGTGAAATGCAAGGAGACAAATTAACTCACCTTAACACTTTGTAATCTAAAAGAGCAGCGGCGTGATTTACTTTGTGTGCCAACCATTGATTTTGTTCATTTTCTGCCTCAGAGATCATTCGGATTGTCATGGCCTCCAGATTTTCCATTACACTGACTCCACATCTATCATGACTGTTGTTTATCTGCCTCTCACATCCCGCAGAAAATTAGACCATTTATCTAGAGGAAGGCTGTCCAGCTAACTTACTTCTCCTTTATGGCTGCTTAGCGCAGCGCTCTGGGGTTGTGAATCAAATATTGAAATACATTACTTTTATGACACACTGTGTAATAATTCCTACCTAGGGATCTGAGGCTGTTGTGGCGATGTTTGAAGTCCAGCTGTGGGACTTAGGTTGTTGCTGCAGGCTATGTTACAATATTCAGTCTTTTAATGTTTGACATGAATTCAAAACAAAGCTTTGAGCAGCATAAAACAGAACCATTTTATGGAGTGAATTTGGATATTTTGTTCTCATTCAGCATTCATAACCATCCACTCTCATGAGTGTTTGGATCCAGGCTAGAGGCTCTGGTTATTTCATTACATGTTTCAATATTTTTTCTTTGCTGAATAATGAGAAAACAAATCATAACACTCAAAGAACATATGGCCCATGAGAGACATAAAAAATTATCTGCCAATCAAACAATTCAAACACTTTTTCTCTCTCATTTATGAGCACAATATTTCAGTGAATGAGACTGTAAGGATGCTCTCCCTCTGTTGCTAAGCGACAAATTACTTTTGCTGTAAAAGACCCCCCACATAACAGTCTTAGACTCCCTCTCTATTGTCGTTTCATCCCTCTTTCCGTCTCTTCTTCAGACCAATCAAAGTGCTCCGTCCGAGTCCCGCCAACGAAGCCAGGTGACACTCTTTAACGAGCTGCTGTTCCCTGAGTGCCTACGCTGAGCACACGCAGCATAGCAACAAGTCAGACGGAATGAATGAATAATAAGCTGAAAAACACTAAAGGGTGAAAGTGATTAATTTGGTCTGATCGGTCCCACTTGGTGAAGGTGACTACAAGGATACAGAGCGACTCCACTGCTTTCCTGTCTGATACGTAAAGCCTCTACTTCCTGCGAGGGTCCATTTTGCCAACAGTCATGGATGTGTGCGTCTCCATGACAACAGCGGAGGGGTTGTCTAATGTGAGGTGCACCATGACGAACAAAAAGACACCTTTGTGGACTGATGTCATCCATCCACAACTACAGATTCAAGTCATTACTACCTGCTTCACCTGCTGCAGCAGAAATATTAAATATGTATGATCTTTGTTTATACTGTTGTATTGTGGACATTAGGTATAAAATTGTTTTCAAAACTGCTCTCATGCCTCAGCTCTACATGTGAATCCACCAGATACTCACGAAGCAAAAGCACAACAAAACATGAGTGAAACCCTTTGAAGAGACCGTACAGTTAAAGAAGAAATCATCTTTTTCCCAGTGTCTTCTCTGAATACATGAATGCCCCCCCCACTCTAATGTCAGTGTTTTCCATCTCAACACCCATTAATCAGTGCTATTGCTTTTGTCGCCATGGAAACTGGACTTGCTCTCATAAGGTCTGGTGGGGTTTTTCACAATAGCCAGACTGACAGCTCCCGTGGCTGCAGCAGGTCAGTGAGCCCACCGAGTGCAAAATCAGCCCCTGTGAGACAAAAAAAAAAAAAACCCCACTTCTCTCTCCACTATCGCATACTCACCTCACCCTCTCAGCTAACCCCCTCAACACTCCTCAGTATGGACGGAGAGATTACATAACCACTGTTACTCTCTGAGCATCTTCACACAAATATACTGTATAGTTTATGTCCTTCTCATCAGTTCGCAGCCTAAATTCTATTACGAGTCCTTCAATGTTCACTATCCAAATGCTGGTGGATGACAAACATCACTGCCATGACAATTGCATGTGGAGCCTTTTGAGGACGATAAAAAGAGGAATACAGTACCACACACAGCGACAACTCTGACAAAAACACTTAGAGATCACATCTTTATCTGCCAGACAGAAGATGATCCTAAATATGCCAATGTCTGCAGACTGCTATTAAGGGGAGACATCTACAGTAAATGTCTCAAGAGCATACAATTATTTTTGACAGGCATTAAATTAATATTATAGATTGAGACCTGTCAGATCAATGAGAGAGAAATGAGTGTCAGACTCCTGGACAGCTTCTTCATTCACACTAATGTGGTAACTAGCATGCAGGGAAGCCCATGTTACTCCACGAGGACCCATAATGCATTACAAACAATGTCAACACATAGAAAACAAACAAAAATAGATGAGATTTGAACTTATTTTTGGTGCATAAGGTGCTACACAAACACTGAAAGAACGCTGATGGCAGATGGAAGAAGAAGAAGAAGAGAGGAAGGTTAAGATCCTGGGTACTCACAGTGATCTTGGTCTCCTTGACCTCCTTGATCTGCCTTTTGGCCGGCGACACAGAGCCGGGCGGCTGCGGGGCAAAACAGGAGGGATCATCAAAACTCTCCTCAGTGTCAAAGCTGGCTTCCATCATCATCCCTCTCACCTCCTCCTGCTTCTCTATTCTGGGAAAACCT